TTTTCTCCACATCATGTGTGTAAGATCTTGTTTTCTTCATGTTCACCATGTGGGTAATATCTTGCGAGCTCAATAAATACGGAAACAAAACTCCTGTTTGGGGGTCTTGTCTCCTCCCAAACATTAGCCTCTCTTGTTTTCAATTCTGCATCTGCTCTCTTGCTGGACAAGCAAGAACTCCAGACTCATGGTCTGTGACAATCGGCCACAGACACCAACAACAAAATGGGCCCAACTCCCTTTAGCAGAGGAAAGCCAGCACCCAATCAAGTGGTGCTTGCCAGCACCAGGCCAGTGGTCACCCTCTCCCCATGCCTTCTTCCACCACCCGCCAACTGCCCCCCTATTACCCAAAAAAACAAGCTTGGAGAAAGTTCCAAGGAAAGGGGAAGAATCCAAAAGCCTAAGCAATTATCCCAAAACTTTGACTTAAGCCTAAAGAGACTGTTAAAATTTTTAGACCAAATTGGGCTGAAACTAGTATGTATGTGGAGAGAGGCTACCACCCAGGAAGTGGAAGCCTCCTGTGGATTTTGCACCTACTAATTAGCATCTGTCCTAAAGCCCTCCTTGGATCTTGATGTGTTCTTATTCTTTCTACCACAGAGTAATTCAGTTTCTTTCATTGGAACACTGTTCCCTGGGCTTGCTTGATCATAAGAATCACCCAGAGATTTTATCAGAAATACAGATTTTTATATTTTATATCAGTCTCATTAGACCTACTAAATTATAATCACTAAGAGAGGGTCTAGGAATCTATACTTCTCATGAACACCTCCTGTGACCCTTGTGATCAATTTGACAAGTCCTGCTATAGATTTTAGTGGACCTTCAATAATACCATAAGGTCTCTAAATTGTGTGGCCTGGCATGCCAATTCTGGCTGTTTTCCATTACCATGGAAATGTGTTGTTACTCTTGAACCGATAGTATTTCTTTCTCCTTAAACATTTAGAGCACTAATGTTATCACTTCATTACCAGGCTTACACAAAGTCAATTAAATTCTGTCAGTTTGATTAAAGATGTTAAGCCCTTTGTTTTAAGTTATGCGGACAAATTAACAGCTTGGATGGCTACGTCCCACACATCACTCTGGTCATCAGGATTGGTTTGGGGAGGGGCAGTGACAATCAGAGTAAAGCTAATGATGTGGGTTCTCAACAGCAAAGGATGGATGCCCTTTCTCTACTCCAAATGTGAATGGGAAAGCATCTATCACAGTTTGCTGGGATATTAATCACAATATTTGGGGGCAAGCCACAGAAATCTACATTTTCAACAAGTTTGATCCAAAATTTTACGAATTGCAATACCAGACAGAGAGTAGAATCTATGCTCATATCTGACATATAAAAGATTCTGGAGGAAATAAAGGTGTTTTCATTGGGAATCATGGAAATTTTCAGTAAAGAAACAACAACAGAAAGTGCATGGCTTAGAGACTTTAAAGAAAAATGTGTGCCTCACGTAGGAAAACACGTCTCTCTTCCAGGCATGTAGGAGTCAGCCTGAGCCTCAGGAGAGCAGAGATGGCTGCTAGTCAAATGGTGAGCAGGACCTGCCCACCACGGACGTGTGAACCATGGATTGGAAAGGAAGGACAGAGTATGGGTGAGACGTGGTTCCTGTCCTGCCATAGACGACAAACTTCAAAGCTTGCGAGAGAAGCAGCCAGTGTCTGGCCAGCCCTGTGGAAGCACCAGGAAGAGAGTGCTTGCCCTGTCTCACGGAATCAGGCAGGACTCCAAGAAAGTGGCGTCAGAACCTGACTCTGAAGAACGAGTAGACTTCCGTTCTTGGGCTGTTTGTGCTCCTTGCTTTATTTTGTTTTCCTATAGTGCCATATTCCAAACAGAATTCGAAGCAGTTTTGAACGGGGATGTCTTCAGTTGAGAAGCACGTTGAGGGCAGAGAAAACGGCATCAGTAAGGCACAAAATAATGATAAGAGAACGGGACCAGAGCCCTTAGGAGGCAGGAGTGGGGAGGTTGGTGAAAAGGAACCACATGGACACCATCAGCAGGTGGCTCCACTTGTCCAGGTGAGAGTGATGAAAGCCCCGACCAAGGCGGGACCAGTGACTTGGGAAAGGGAGACCTACATGGAGATGTTTTAAAAGTAAAATCTGCAGTACTGGCCTCAAATGGAGTGTGGCAGTTTAAAGAAAAAGGACATTGTAGAAAAATAACACTGATGTTTCCAGTTTGGTACAGGCCAGATGAAAAGAGTATTAGTCACCATGATGGAAAATATGGGCTAGGCGACAGGCACAGAGATACCTATGAAGGAATGAATGTGGTCAGTTTGGAACAGGTCTGTTTAGGATATATGTGTATTTTAAAATGTAGGCAATGGGGGCGCCTGGGTGGCTTAGTCGGTTGAGCGTCCGACTTTCGCTTGGGTCATGATCTCGCGGTTCGTGGGTTCGGGCCCTGCGTCGGGCTCTGTGCTGACTGCCAGCTCAGAGCCTGGAGCCTGTTTCAGTCTGTGACTCCCTCTCTCTCTGACCCCCCCTGCTCACGCTGTCTCTCTCTCTCTCTCTCCTAGAAATAAATAAAACATTAAAAAAAATTTTTTTAATGTAGGCAATGAGTAAAATGGGTGAAGGGGGTCAAAACATACAAACTTTCAATTACAAAATAAATAAGTCCTGGAGAAACCTGTGTTGCATAATTGAACATTTCTGAGAGAGTGGATCTTAAAAGTTCCCATTACAAGAAAAAAACATTTGTAACTATGCATGATGACTGATTTATTGTGGTGATCATTTTGCAATACATACAAATATTGAGTCATTATGTTGAACACCTAAAACTAATACAATGTTGTATGTGCATTATTCTTCAATACAGACAAATTTAACTTGGGAAAAAATTTCCAGAACAAAAATGCTTTAAGCATCTTAGGAAAGCTCCAAATTATTAAAGTATTTTAATATCTAAGCACCAAGAATAAAAAAAAAGGATGCTTCTAAGAATTAGTGACAACAAATATAGAGGGTCTACAAAAATCTGCCTTGATTACTTCACTCACGGAGAGTCATTTTGACAAATATTGTGAAGACAGGCTATTCTGCTAGAAATGTTTAATATATTAGGTGCTACTTTTAGGTGCAACTGCAAATAAAAGGGGACAGATGATCCCACTACTGGATAAAGTATTAGTTATAGAGTTAGTTGCTTGTAGTAAATACCAGGTACTATATAAATAGAATAAGGTATAGACCAAGAGAACTATGAGAGAATTCTGAAGCCAAACAAAGGATAAAAATAGATAGATTTTTTAATCTACATTTTCTAGATAGATAGGTGATAGATAGATAGATAGATAGATAGACAGACAGACAGATAGACAGATAGATAACACAGGAGAAACATCTCCAGAACAGCTACAAGTGACAGCTGGGAGCTTAAGCTCCAACTTCAAGAGGGAGCAGAGCTAGATGAATATAGACCGGAGCACAAAAGCTTCAAGTGACATGAATGGCAATGAGAAAGAATGAAATCTGGCCATGTGTAGCAACATGGATGGACCTTGAGGGTGTTATGTTGAGCAAAATAAGTCAGGCAGAGAAGGACAAATATCATATGTTTGCACGTATAGGAGGAACTTAACGGAGGACCGTGGGGGAGAAGAAGGGGGGAAAGGGGGAGAGGCAAACCATGAGAGACTCTTGAATACTGACAAAAACTGAGGACTGATGGATGTGGGGGGGGAGGGGGGATGGGCACGGAGGGGGGCACTTGTGGGGATGAGCACTGGGTGTTATATGGAAACCAACTTGACAATAAACTATTTGTAAAAAAAAAAAAAAGTGACATGAAAACAGGAGCTCAATTTGCAACACCCCTAAGCTAGGGATTGATTATACATATACAACATTTTACCATATGCTTCCTTGAGCTTGGATGTTGTTTTGTTGTGTTGTATTTGTTTTTTGCCAAGCCAAAAATGCTCTGCAAAATGATCAGATGCCAGCAAGCCAGAGGTCAGGAGTCCCACGCCTGCATTCCCACTCCGGAATGGGGCAGGGAAAGGGGCAAGCTAGTGGGAAATAATGATCCACACAACTCATTAGTAGAGCCCAAGAGTCAGCCGGGGTCCGGAGGGGCTGTGGGACCGAGTTGAACCTGCAAGACATATAGGGCTTTCAGCAGTGAAAGGATTGTGCCCAGCCATCCAGGCCTCTGGATCACACAGGTCAAGTCCCCAAATAAGGCATAAAAATGAACTGGGAGTTTGCCTCAGCTTTACTGCTGAGCACATAAACTGCTTTAGAGAAAAACAGCAGCATTTTCTACAAGAAACTTGGCAAGCCCATGGTGTTGACAACGTGCTGAGAGAGTCAGTTGATGTTTGACCTCACCAAGACTCAACCTGTTTGTGTTTCCAGCCCCTCCAAACCCTGATAATGAAAACATATCACTGAGGCCTCTGATAATGGAAACCTTTTCTCAGCTGTGTTCTCCAGCTGCCATCTGAACTTGCTGGTAATGTTTCAGCAGACAATAGTGAGACTGTCAAGTCAAACAGTAACTCTTTCAGCGATTCCAGCCAGGCCTCTGGATTTGCTTGGATGTTAGGAGTCCAGGCTTGGCAGAGAGGACACAGAGGGGGAACGACAATGACTAGGGCAAGACATCAGAAATGAATTCCATTTTCTGGAAGAAAAGAAGTTAATTAATTAATTTTTAATTTTTTTATTTTTTTATTTTTTTTTTTTACAAATAGTTTATTGTCAAATTAGTTTCTACATAACACTCAGTGCTCATCCCCAAAGTGCCCTCCTCCATGCCCATCCCCCCCTCCCCCCCACATCCATCAGTCCTCAGTTTTTGTCAGCATTCAAGAGTCTCTCATGGTTTGCCTCTCTCCCTTTCCCCCACCATTTCCGCCCTTCTTCTCCCGCTTGTTCCTCCGTCAAGTTCCTCCTAATCCTCCTATACGTGCAAACATATGATATTTGTCCTTCTCTGCCTGACTTATTTCGCTGAAAACGTAATTAAGTCGTGGGTCAAATATGTAAGACTCAATTACTTCACTGCCTTTGTTGACGGTACATCTGAGAATTGGAAGCCTAGAACAGGGTGTTGAATGCACAATAAACAAGAGGAAATGCAGAAATGTTGAAAATAACAGAATTCTGGGAAATGATGAGGATGAGAAACACTTTCTAGGAAAAGGACACAACATGGGATTCCTGTGATCACGCAGCAGCCACTCCAGAGGAGGACATCAGCCCTAAAAGAGTAACCACGTTGGGAAGAGTTGGACAAAGCCCTGGTCAAAGGAGTTTTATTCTTTCCATCACCATCTCTGCCAATTCCAACCCTTCACTGGTAGTAAGTGAAACGGGTGGTGGAGGGGGGGTGGGGAATGTAAAATATTTAATAAATAAAATGGTGAACTCTGACCAGTCCAAATGGATGTGGGCCAAAGTCACGAAACAGGTGCTGAAACAGACCTGCTGTCAGGCTGGATCCTGGAGAGATCCCAGAAAGGGGGCTTGGCAGGTGGGGCATCAGAGCAGCTGAAGGTCTGCCCTGTTACCAGCTCCTGTCTGAAGCCCCACGTTTGTCTTCCTTGTTTCCTCGCCACCAGCCTGAGATCAGATGGCCTTCATGCAGCACCCAAAGTATCTAATTTCATATCACTTCAGATTCACTTGTTTGCCTCCTCACTGTTGTGAAAAAAACTCAAGAAAATGTTCTTTTTTTCTTGGCACTCTTGGCATCTAGCACTTTACCTCTACCTTGGGTAGCAGTGTTGGAATCCTGGGAGAGGTAGCATCTGAGAGATGCTTGTGTGGGAGAAAATTCAGACATGCAGAAAAGGGGAGACCTGATTCTACATGCTGTGGACATGGAATAAAAAGAGGCAGGGAAAGGAGCAGTGAAGGGCTATCACAGAAAGAGGAGATACTGAAGTCTGGCTGTACAAAGGGAGGGCAGTTAGCAGGGACCAAGTCTGAAAAGGTATTCTGAGACCAAACTGTAAAGTGACATCAGTAACCAGCTAAGCATATTAACATTTATCCTGTAGATAAGAGAAGTGGGAAATTTTAGAGCATAAGCAAACCATGACTGCAGAGATGTGATGTATTATGTGGGAAAAAGTCAAGCATTTGGGGCCCAAATAAAAGGTTGTTGCCCTAATCGAAGGCAGGAGACAGTGCCATAACTTGACCTTGGCAGGTAATGGCAGGAGAAATGGAGAGGACAATTGGGAAATGAAAGATGTTATGGAGCATAATTAACAGCCCTGGTAATTGATTGGAAGCACATCCATCTGATCCCAGTGGGGGATCAGAATCAAAGATGATAGAAAAGCTGTGAGCCTTAATTCCAAGGAGAATGGTGCTACCCTTAACAGCACTGAATAATTCAGAGAAGGCCTAGGTTTGGATCCAGTTGGGAAGGGACATGTGAATCCAATAGACTTGACAGAGGACCAAGGGGGGCTTTAGAACCAGTAGTCACAAATGTGGGATCAGAGCTTAGAAAAGACATTGGAGCTAGAGGAAGAGAATTAGCTCAAACAAACTCAGGTTCACTTAGCATAAGAAACCAAAGCTTAGTCGCTGCTCTAGATGCTTCCAAAGATGGATTGAAGTCCCAGCTGTAGTGCTTACTTCCCCATTACTTCCTCATCTCCTGAGGCTCTTTGGTCTCAGGAGAAGGTGAGGGAGGTGTGTGGAACAGTTGATTCCTGAGCCATCTAGCTGGGCTGTCGTTGTGCAAGGCTCTATGCCCAAGAGGCCCAGCAAGAGAAGAGGCAGCAGCCTTCACCCAGAGGTTTCTTCAACCTCCAAAGAATTAAATTTGTAAAGCCCTTGTAACAGTGAATTTATAAATGAGTGGAAATGGAGAGAATATTTCACAGAACACAAATTTATACATGAATAAAAATATGTTAACCATGGCTGGGAAATACTAGATGGTTCAGAAAAGTTTTAGTCTGGCTCAGGAAACCCAATACCTCTAAGAAACAATTTTTCTTCTCTAAGTATGTGAGGCAACATTGATCTAAAACTGACAATCTCAGCTCATTAGGCAGAAAGTTCTTGTGTTCTACTTATATTGGGTTTGTTAGTAACTTTATGTTTGCTCAGTGTTTACACACCATGTTCTCATGTTGAAAGGGATTATTTTTATTTTGTAAAATTTATTATAGGCTACCTCTGGACTAGAAATTTTCAAAAACTTTGAGTTCCTATAGCCCCATGCCCATATAACAGTGATTTTAACATCTTGACTTGCTCAAGAGCACATTCCCACAATGAACCATTATAACTGTATCATATTCACTTGGATAATTTACTTATATTTTTAAAAAGTAAAAGAAAAGAAAAGAATCAAGTGTTCATGTTCTGGAATCAGGCTCCCATTGTTTGAATCTGAGGGCCCTGTTCATAGTTTCCTGCAAATTACTGTAACAAATTACCACAAACTGAGTGGCCTTAAAACGACAAACGTGTACCTTTTCATAGTTCTGGACACTGTAAGTCCTAAACCCAGGTGTCAGCAGAGCCATTGCCCCCTCTGAAGGCACTAGGGAAGGATCTTTCCTTGCCTCTTACAGCTTCTGGTGGCCCTGGACATTTCTAGGCTTGTGGCTGCATCACTCCAATCTCTGCCATGGTCCTGTTCCCTCCATGTGTCTGTGTGTCCATTCTACCTCTTATAAAGACACTCACATTGGATTTAGGGGCCCAACCTAATCCAGAATTACTTTGTTTCAAGATCCTCAACTTAACAGGAAGGTCCTTTTATAAATACGGTCACTATCTGCCAAGATTCTTTTCCAGTTTAGGTCACCTGCACAAGTACCAGGGGATAGGACTTAGAGATATGTTTGTAGGGGACAGAATGCAACCCACTGCAAGCCCCCATTACCAGCTCTGTGACCCTGGGAAACTTGCTTTAGTTTTCTGTGTCTTTGTTTCCTCATCTGTGAAATGGAGATGGTAATAATATGCAATAATTATATAAATACATATATGCAAACCACTTACCACAGTGCTTGAGACAAATATTGGCTATAATTATTCGTTTGGTAAATAGAAGAAACAAATAAACAAAAAAACAACACACAAAAACCACAAGATCAGGTTATGACACTGCTCTTTACCATAAACTATACTTCACATTTCTGTAGTATGCATTTTTTGTTAATTTTTATTTTTTTATTTATTTTTTATTTTTTATTTTTAATATTTTTATTTATTTCTAGGAGAGAGAGACAGCGTGAGCAGGGGAGGGTCAGAGAGAGAGGGAGATACAGACTCTGAAATAGGCTCCAGGCTCTGAGCTGGCAGTCAGCACAGAGCCCGACGCAGGGCTCGAACCCACGAACCGCGAGATCATGACCTAAGTGAAAGTTGGACGCTTAACCGACTAAGCCACCCAGGCGCCCCAATTTCCATCTATTTAATCACTGAACACCCTCCCTCTAGTCCATTCTAAGAAAAACTAGGATCTTTANCAGAATCCGAAACTCTGACTGCTGCTCCAGTCCCAAATAGTATTTGATGATGAAACTTTTGCTAGTCTTAACCAAAATTAGAAAAATAAGTCTAATTGTTTTTTGTGTTTTTAATAAACTCAGGTTTTCTGCCTGTTCTCGGTTATTAATTTTTTTTTTTATTTTAAATGTTTTATTTATTTCTAGGAGAGAGAGAGAGAGACAGCGTGAGCAGGGGAGGGTCAGAGAGAGAGGGAGATACAGACTCTGAAATAGGCTCCAGGCTCTGAGCTGGCAGTCAGCACAGAGCCCGACGCGGGGCTCGAACCCACGAACCGCGAGATCATGACCTAAGCGAAAGTCGGACGCTTAACTGACTAAGCCACCCAGGTGCCCCATTTGTTAATTTTTAAATTTAAGTATAGTTGAAACACAATGTTATATAGTATGAATTTCCTTGTTAAATTTTATACAACATTTATCTCATTTCATTGTGAAATAGAGATTTTAAGTATCACATTATACCCATTTTGCAACTGAATAAACTATGTGGTTAAGTTATTACAGTAGCAAAGCAGAAACATGAACACTGGTGGTCTGGATATTAGTCCAGCACTCTCTATTCCAGCCATGTAGTCAGGCATGTTATTTATGTTCTTATGACAAACCCTGGTAGGGACCTCTCCCTAAGGAGAGAAAAATAAAACAAAAACCAAAAAACCTCAAGGCAATCTGGCTATATGCGTACGTGACAACATCCCTCATAACCTTGTAACATGAGACCACTTAATCAGACTGCATGTTTTTATGTTACCATATACGGGAGACAAAAAAGTAGAAAATAATAAAAACAAAACAAAACACCATATGGTGTTAGGGGCTCAGTTCTTCGGGTATGAACCCAACTGCGCCATGCCGGCATGAATAACGTTGCTTCCTGGAAAATAAAAGCCTCAGTGTCACAACTCTGTGTGAGAATCCTGCTACGTAACCATTCTCTCACATCCAACATTTTGTTTAGAAATCAGGAAGAGACTGTGATAGAGATCTTGATTTGAAATATACCCATGACAATTAACATGAGCGAGAGACAAAAAAGCAAGAAAACTTAGAAAAGAGGGAGAAGAAAATATATTTATGAAGTGATTCAAAGTGACTTCAAGTGTTCTTTTCTTTCAAGATTCATATGTAATGCTTTAGTATGTCAGGTCCAAAACATGTTACCAGGCAACCTCTTCAGGCAAATCAACTCAGATCTGCTCCTGTACCCCCAGGTCTATGGTGGGTCAGAACCAGACGCAGATGCCCCCAGGGGTCTGCTACTCACTTCTCCCCTTTCTAACCTTGCTCACTATTGGTTAGAGGTTCCAGCCCAACCTTGAATGCTTCAGCGAACACGGGGACAGAAACAGGTTAAGAATCAAGCAATCAAAGAATCAAGCAATCAAAGAGCAGTAGGAAGAAACTTTGAATTTAATCCTCTGCCAACCACAGTGAGAACAAACCCAGTCTATTTTCTTACAAAGGTATTCCTTGATGGGAAAAAATTAGATGTACTGAAAGGAAAGCATGTGAAGGAGGGATTCTGGTACTTTCATCTAGATCATTCAACCTCTAGTTCTTAAGTTCTCCTTTGGGCTTTCGCTAGAAGCCAGAAAGTTGCTTCATAGAAAAGAGAGAACACGAAAAATAAAAAGAGGGTTAAGGAGGAAGTGAGATAATTAGGTGGGAACACATTTTAATAAATTTTGTCCTCGAAATATGGAGTGTGAATAATTATATAAGTGGAAGAAATATGAGTAAATCTGCGTATGACAACATCTGCTAAAAATTGGGTTCATGCTATTTAAGGTCATTTTAATAAACTTGTGGTTTACTT